AATTATTATTATTATTATTATTATTATTATTATTATTATTATTAAATGTATTATAGCACCATAGTAATTATGTGTAATTGCAACAGTAAATAACATTCAGATATAAAAAAGCAATAACAACAATAATAATTATGTTTATGATTGTTTTTGCATGTTTAAAAAGTATAGCAGTTTGCCTGCCTACTGAATATTTGAAATGTGTAAAATTAAGCTGAGAAATGTACACTGTGGCAATGCTGTATTTACTGCAGCATGTAACTACTAAAAAGTACAACAGAAACATAAGGAAAAGCAAATGCCTGCAGTAAATAATACATTCAATCAACGCACATGACAAACGCAGTTCTCAAAGACTGTTTTCCACTGGGTAGAAACAAGGCGCCTCTGGCCAAACACAGATGCAATCCGCACTGGGCTCAGAGCTCTGCAGGTGGTCAGTGAATTTAAGGTTTGATTTAATCACGGTCAATCTTTTTTTTCCCCAATTTCTGGAAAAAATGCACAGAGCAAAAAAGTGGCTAGCTACAGTATGTCTCAATATGCAAGCTTCAGCTGACTTGTGCACTTTATATGTTTGTTTCTGGTATGTCTTTGGTGAGAACAGTAATTAAATTGGAAACAAAAAGACGGTGCTCGTGCAGGAAAACTCTAAGGGTTTTTAATGTAAATAAATGAGCCCCATTTAAAATTGGTTCACTTTCAGTTGATTTCTGGACTTTATTCTGATTTACATGAATTGTTTTGAGAAAAAGGACAATTGTGACTGAGAAGGTAATCATCTAACACAAGCAATGTCATTATTAACGTATGTGCAGTAAACAATATAAACTGACATAAACGAAACTAAAATGTTATCATTTCATAAAAAACAATGATGATATAAATTCTCTTTACAATGTTCCTTCAAGCATGATACTGTACCGAGATTGATCAGATTGTAAATCTAGAGCACAATCATGTTCATACTTTATGATGTGCACTTAACAAGAGTTTGTAAAAGTTTCTATACACAGCAGACGGAGAGAAAAGGATTATAGGATTATCCAGTCCCAAGTTTTTTTTTTTTTCCTTCAGGGTTAGGAGCTGCTTCCAGTAGTTTTCCTCACAATTGGCTCAATATATTTTGGGATTTCTGAAAGAGGAAGGGGACGGTCTCCCCAGAGCTGTCATGTATGACACAATGAATCAGGAACATCGAGACACATCTGGCAGCACAAACCCCAGCAGGTAAAACTTCGCA